CCACATAAGCAAAAAGAAAAAAGCCGGAAGTGGTGCTGTGGCTCAAGTGGTAGAGCGCTAGCCTTGAGCTGAAGAGCTGAGGGACAGTGCCCAGGCCCCAGAGTTCAGGCCCCACGACCGGACCCAAAAAAGAAAAAAAGAAAACTAAACAGAGAAGACAACAGTCTAGAACTGAAATGCAACATGAGCTCAACAATGCTAAAAAATTACATATTTTCAAAACTATGGGAAAGATATACACAAAATAGTACATGACATTAAAAATTATAGTAGGGTTAAATTATTGTTTTCTTTTGAAGGTTTTTCTTTATTCTCCAAGTTTTCTAGAATGAGTAATTTTACTTTTATAATCAGAGGAAAGAAGCATTGTTATTTGAACTAACTGGGTTGGTTCAAAGACTGATGGGCACCTATTTAAGCTTCTTTAAGTTGGTTTACTAGTATGCATTTCTTTCATTTTAAACGGAGTACCTTTTGGGAGGCTCCTTCTCTGGGTAGCATGGGTTGATGTGCCAGATACTGTAATCATGCTAGAGGATTTAGCTGTAGCACATGCAGATGATCTTTTCTGTAAGATATAAACATGATAACTGACACATATTTTGAAGAAAAAGGCACATTTCCTTTTATTTTTATTCAGTAAGTCAAAATCATATAACATGTTTCTTCCTCTGGGAAGCCTCCTCACTCCTCCACCTCCTTAGGACTCAACTTTGAGGCAGGGCGTATGTCTCATAAACATTCGGATGCCTGGCAAAGAGCCTGACATGATGACTTGCACTTAGAATGTACTCATTGATGAGTTTAGAAAGCATAAAATTGTGTCATTTCTTTTCTTTCTGAGTAAGACCTATGAGCAATTAATTTTCGTTGAGTACTAAAGAAAAAAAATTCAATCATAGAAAATTAAGTCAGTCAAAAAGTTGTGAGGATCCAGGCGCTGGTGGCTCACGCCTGTAATTCTAGCTACTGAGAAGGCTGAGATAAGAATCTTGGTTCAAAGCTAGCCCGGGCAGTCCGTGAGACTCTTATCTCCAATTAACCATCAGAAAACCAGAAGTGGCGCTGTGGCTCAAGTGGAAAAGCATTCTCCTTGAGCTGAAGAGCTGAGGGACAACGCCCAGGCCCAGAGTTCAAGCCCCATGAACAATAACAACAACTAAAGTACTTGTTACCTGATATATATAACTGTAACTCCTCTGTACATCACCTTTATAATAACAATTTTTTTAAAGTTTAAATCTTAGGGGAAGTAACCAGGGAAAGCTCTGAGGATGAAGTCAAAATTTAAACCTCTACAATACAAATTCAGGAGATGAACCCCTGGGAGGCATAGAGAAAGAATCCAGCTCATTTCCTGTTTCTTTTGGTGTTTGAACTCAGAGCTACGAACTTGCTAGGCAAGAGCTCTGCCCCAAGCCACACTCCCAGTCCTCTTGTTTCTTAATAGATTTGAAAAAATTCTTAGCCTTTTGGACCACTGAGCTCCTGAGGCTGACCTCATGAGTATGTATGTAACATAGAATTGGTAAACTTACCAGATCAGTTAGTCTTGCAGGATGAGTTTCAGAAGAAGTAAAAAGAGAATCCAGACACTTTGCTTTCTCTCGAACAGTTATAAATTTATCAGCAAAAGTCCTAACAGATTCTTGACTATCACAGAAAGATGCAGACTCTGCTTGAACCTGAAATGGGATACTTTCAAGGCAGTCTTTATACCGACTGGCAGCTGAAGACACTGACTCTGTTGGAGAGAAAACAGTAGTGTCTGAATTCTTCACATTACAAACAAAATACCACAAAATTTGTCATTATGCTAGGGATTTTCCAAATCGTTAATAACTGAAGAAATCACTAATCTGAGACAAAACTCAAGGTATAAAGCACTCTAAATTCACCCATCAAGATAAAATAAAGGGAGATTAAACTACAACTATGTTGGAAATATGGGCACTAAAGAGAAGATTTTGGATGCTGTTTGTATATAATAGCAGAATTCAAGAACAATACATGAGTCAGGCTGGTGGCTCATGCCTATAATCCTAACTATTCTGGAAGCTGAAAATTGAGAATCATGGTTCAAAGCCAACCTGGTTACAAAAGTCCATGAGACTTTTTTTTTTTAGGTCCGGTCGTGGGGCCTGAACTCTGGGCCTAGGCGCTGTCCCTCAGCTCTTCAGCTCAAGGCTAGCGCTCTAGCACTTGAGCCACAGCGCCACTTCCGGCTTTTTTCTTTTTGCTTATGTGATGCTGAGGAATCGAACCCAGGGCCTCATGCATGCAAGGCAAGCACTCTACCACTGAGCCACCTTCCCAGCCCCCATGAGACTTTTATGTCCAATTAACTAGCAAAAAAAAAAAAAAAAAAAGTGCAAGTGTGGCTCAAGTAATAAGAGTGCTAGCCTTGAGCAAAAAAAAATCTAAGAGACAGCACCTGTGTTCAGGCCTGAATTCAAGTCCCAATACCCAGTACTGAGTACAAAAAAAAAAGAAAAGAATAAAAAGAACTATGTATGAGGGCCAGACTCAAATGGTATCTAGAAAGTGTATGGCCTGAGTTAAAATCCCAGTACTACAAAAAGCACTGTTGCAAAGTCTAGAGGATCCAACGTTTCTGCAATAAATTCAGCAGTGTTTACAGTATATAGTAAACTAAAGAGACTGATATATTTTCATGTTTCTACCACTACCACACTAACCCAAACCAAACAGCTACTAACTCACTACCACCATTACTCCTACTTGGCTTCCCATAGGATATTCTTCAGCTTTGGCCCTAAGAAAACACTTTTGTTTTGTAGGTTGTGGGCCTGAACTCTGGGCCTGGGCACTATCTCTCAGCTCTTCAGCTCAAGGCTAGTGTTCTACCACTTGAGCCACAGCACTACTTCTGGCTTTTTCTGTTATGTAGTGTTGAGGAATCAAACCCAGGGCCTCATGCAAACACTCTACCACTGAGCCACCTTCCCAGAACCCCTAAGAAAACACTTTTACTCTTGAAGAAAATAGCTATCAGGTCTGTTTTCCAGTCTGGCTTCTCAAAGTCGGTGAATAGGGCTGAGAGCTCCTCTATAAAAATCTTCCTGTATAGCTGGGCGCTGGTGGCTCACGCCTGTAATCCTAGCTACTCAGGAGGCTGAGATCTGATGATTGCGGTTCAAAGCCAGCCCAGGCAGGAAAGACCGTGAGACTCCCTATCTCCAATAAACCACCAGAAAACCGGAAGTGGCGCTGTAGCTCAAGGGGTAGAGTGCTCGCCTTGAGCTGAAGAGCTGAGGGACAGCGCTCAGGCCCAGAGTTCAAGCCCCACGACCGACAAAAAAAAAAAAAATCTTCCTGTATGTGATTACCTGGGCTGACTGGAGTGCTGACACAAGTAGGTGCATGGCTTAATTTGGGTGTTTTACATGAGGCTTCCTTAAAAGAGCCATCTGGTTCATAGGAGATGCTGGACAGGTCTTGAATGTCTATCAGTGATCTATAAATAATTAAGAACACACAGTAATTGTAAGAACATGTTTAGAAAAATAAAACAATATATTCCTGATAGGAACTTTTCTTTTTGGTGGTGGTGGTGGTGGTGGTGTGTGTGTGTGTGTGTGTCAGTACTGGGGCTTGAACTCAGAGCTTGGGCACTGTTCTTTAGCTTTGTCACTCAAGGATAGTGCTCTGCCTCTAAAGCCACAGCTTTACTTCCAGCTTTTCAGTGGTTAATAGGACTTTTCCTACTGGGATTGGCATTAAACCTTAGTCCTCAGATCTCAGCCTCCTGAGGAGCTAGGATTACATGAGCACCCAGCATGTTTTGAAACAGGAGTGGCCTCAAACTCACAGTCCTTTCATTATAGCCTTCTGGGTACTGGAATCACAGGTATGTGCCAACCAAGCCCTGGTCTGACAGAAATGTTTAAAGTATACTCATCTACAAATCTTTCCTGGCACTATAAAGAATTAACTAATATCTTAGGGCCAGGTGCTGATTGCTCATGCCAGTAATCCTACCTGGTCAGGAAGCTGAGATCTGGGAATAGTGGTTCAAAAGCCCCCCAGACAGATAAATCCAAGAGTTGTTCATCTCTAAAGAAGTAAAGCAGTGGCTCAAGTGGCAGACTGACAGCCTTGAATAAAAAAGCTAAGGGACAGTGCCCAGGCCCTGAGTTAATGCCTCCGTAACAGCCCACACACATACCAAAAAACCAAAAAAAAACAAACAAAAATCTACACAGATTTAATCTACCTCAAGTACAAACTCATTCTTTTTTTTTTCTTTTGTCAGTTGTGGGGCTTGAACTTAGGGCCTGGGCACTGTGCTTGAGCTCGTTTGCTCAAGGCTAGCACCTCTACCACTTTGAGCCACAGCACCACTTCCCCACTTCCAGTTTTCTGGCAGTTAATTGGAGATAGTCTCAGAGACTTTCCTGCCTGGACTGGCTTTGAACCACAATCCTTAGATCTCAGCCTTCTGAGTAGCTAGGATTACAAGTGTATTATTATTTCTGCATTTCCTTGATTATAAGATTCTATTCATTATAAACCACATTATCAATTAAATTACAGCTTTTTGAAGAAACATACATTAAGTTTATATATAAAAGGGCTAGGAATGTGGCTTAGTGGTAGAGTGCTTGACTTAGTATGTATGAAGCCAGGGGTTCGATTCTTCAGTACCACATAAACAGAAAAAAACAGAAGTGACACTATGGCTCAAGTGGTAGAGTACTAGCCTTGAGCAAAAAAAGTTCAGGAACAGTGTGTAGGCCTTGAGTTCAAGCCCCAAGACTGGCCAAAAAAAGTTTATACATAAAAATGTAAAGAATGCAGAGTCTTACAAACAAGGAAATACTATTCCATAAAACCAAGACTTTACACAAACATCTTGGGCTACCAAACATCCTTTGGTAAACATACCTGTCTTTCTCTTTCAGTTCCTTTGGTATGTCCTCTAAGATCTCTTGTTGTTCACCTTCAGTACTGTAAAAGAAAGAAAATAAGATCTCCTGTCAATGAAGTGCATCAGCTTGATACAAAGGAGTAATTCATCAGCCCAATGTGAAAAGCATCAGAAAGAGTTAAGCTTGGAGTACAAGTGTGGGTTCTTGTTTTGATTTTGATGCAAACTATCCACAAGTTCTCTGGGATATGTGAGTTTCAAGTCCTTTTTACAGACTGAATAACCACTCTTTAAAGGTCAGGTCAGCTCTGAAATATGCCATGATTGACTTTATATGACATTAAGTTTCCTAAGAAAAATCAATGGAGCACAAGAACCTTTCTGGGAGGTAGATATTTGATCAAGGGATATAGCCATGAGCTTCTAACAGCTGTGAAACAGCTTCCTGTACAGAGAAACAAAAAGGCTAAAAGAAGCTTGCACCACAAATGGCCAGAAGAGAATACTGAAGACAAACCATCCACTTCTACTTTAACTAACAGTTAACATTCAATTTCAATACTCAAGAGACACTACTAACTAAAAGCTAGGTCCTATGCTAAATCCTTCCACATATCTTCATATCTGCTTGCTTGCTTACTTGCTTTTTTTGTGGGGGGGTCCGGTTGTGGGGCCTGAACTCTGGGCCTGGGCACTGTCCCTCAGCTCTTCAGCTCAAGGCTAATGCTCTACCATTTGAGCCACAGTGCCACTTCTGCCTTTTTTCTTTTTGCTTATGTGGTGCTGAGGAATCAAACCCAGGGCCTTATGCATGCAAGGCATGCACTCTACCACTAAGCCACCTTTCCAGCCCTATCTTCATGTTCTTAATCCTTGTAACATTCCTGTGAGATCAAACTGTACAAGGCTTCGATGTTGACTTGTAGGTTTTTTTGGTGGTGGGGCCTGAGCACTGTCCCTGAGCGCTTTTTGCTCAAGGCTAGTACTTTACCACTTTGACCCACAGCTCTACTTCTGGTTTATGAGTATTTAATTGGAGATAAGAGTCTTACAGAAACCCAGTACTAGTGGCTAATACCCATAATCCTAACAACTCTAGAGAGTGAGATCTGAGGATCATGGTTCAAAGCTAGCTAGGGCAGAACAGTCTGTGAGATTCTTTTTTTTTTTTTTTGTCAGTCATGGGCCTGAACTCTGGGCCTGGGCGCTATCCCTCAGCTCTTCAGCTCAAGGCTAGTGCTATACCAGAGCCACAGTGCCACTTCTGGCCTTTTCTGCTTATGTGGTGCTGAGGAATTGAACCCAGGGCCTCATGCATGCAAGGCAAGCACTCTACCACTGAGCCACCTTCCCAGCCCCTGTGAGATTCTTATTTCCAATTAACCACCAGAAAACCAGAAGTGGCTCTGTGGCTCAAAGTAGTAGAAAACTAGCCTTGAGCAAAAAGAGCTCAGGGACAGCAGCCAGGTCCTGGGTTCAAACTCTACAACCAATAACAACAAAAAAAGTCTCAACAGGGACTTTTCTGCCCAGGCTGATTTCAAACTACTGTCCTTAGCCTCCTGAGTAGCTAGGATTATAGGCATGAGCCACTGGTGCCTGGCTGACCTTTGTCTTTATTAATATACTTTCCAAAATGATTGTCCTAATAACACATAATCGAATGACATTCTCTGGTCCTTTTAATTGACATAAATAGCCACGTGACTTGTTTTAACTAATGAAATGATTGCAAGTAATGAATCTCTTTTGATCAAACCTTTAAAGCCAGATTCTATTTTCCTACCTCAGCAATCAAGGAAGCACAAAGATGGAGTCTGCTCAACCTGCATCTGTTAGAAGGTAATATAGTACAGACCAACCCTTGAGTCTGGATATGAAGAAACAAACCTTTCCTGTTTTAAACTACTAAAATTTGGGAAATCTATGGGGCTTTTTGTTTGTTTTATAATATTATTTAGACTATCCTGAATGACTAGGTATGTAACATTACAGGGGAGAAAACATTTAAGCTGGGCACCAGTGGCACCTGTCTGAACTCCTAACTACTCAGGAGGCTGTAATCTTTCAGATTCAAAGCCAGCTGGTATAGAAAAGGCCACAAGAGGGGCTGGGAAGGTTGCTCAGTGGTAGAGTGCTTGCCTTGCATGCCTGAGGCCCTGGGTTCGATTCCTCAGCATCACAAAAGTCGGAAGTGGCACTGTGGCTCAAATGGTAGAGTGCTAGCCTTGAGCTGAAGAGCTGAGGGACAGCACCCAGGCCCAGAGTTCAGGCCCCACGACTGGACCCCCCCCAAAAAAAGAAAGGGCCGCAAGACTCCATCTTCAATTAACTAGTTAAAAAAAAAAGAAAAGAAAAGGAAGGAAGGAAGGAAGGCAGGCAAGCCAGGCTAGAGACACAGATCAGGTGCAGATCACCAGCTAAGTGATCCTAAGCCCCCTAAGTTCAAACTCTACAGTAGCTTAAAATACACACACATAAGCCTTATGCCAGTGGCTCACACTTGTAATCCTAGCTTCTCAGGAGGCTGAGAACTGAGGATTGCAGTTCAAAGCCAGCCTGGACAAGAAAGGCTATGAATCTCTTACCTCCAATAAACCACCAGAAAAACAGAAGTGGTGCTGTGGCTCAAGCGCTAGAGCACTAGCCTTGAGCTGAAGAGCTGAGGGACAATGCTCAGGCCCAGAGTTCAAGCCCCATGACTGACCGAAACATGCAAGCATGCACGTACTTAAAACACTCAACTTGGGGCTGGGAAGGTAGCTCAGTGGTAGAGTGAGTGCATGCCTTGCAAACATGAGGCCCTGGGTTCGATTCCTCAGCACCCCATAAACAGAAAAAGCTGGAAGTGGCACTGTGGCTCCAGTGGTAGAGCACTAGCCTTGAGCTGAAGAGCTGAGGGACAGTGCCCAGACCCAGAGTTCAGGCCCCATGACCGGGAAAACAAACAAACAACAACAACAAAAAAAAAAAACACTCAACCTTTTTTTTTTTTTTTGCTGGGAGAGGAGTTAGGGGTGTTGGCAATTTCCAGTGCTGGGTGTTCTTAAACTCAGCCTGGGTGTTAACCATTTTTGCTCAGGCTGGTATTCAACCACATGTGCTACAGCTTTATGTCCCTCTTTAAACTTTTTATCTCTGCTTTTCTTACTGGCAAAACGGAGATAACTGTACATATATCTTAGAGGGTTGTTATGTGGAATAGATGAAACAATGACTGGCATATACTAGATACTTAGGAATACTAGCTATAGTTATTATAATTAAGAAAATCAAAGCCCAAAGAGGGGTAAGTACATTGAATGTTTTTGTACCAAACATTTTATATCTGTTATTGTTTTATAATTTAGCTTTTGAGGTCACTGGAGTCACCTGTAGTTATTTAAAAAAAAGATACACTTTACCAAATTTCCTCTAATAGTAATCTTACAAGTCTGGAGAATAATATCACAACCAAGATATAAGCATGATGCAGACAACATGCAGACATGTCCACTACCACAGATGGCTTATGTTGCTTGTTTATAGTCATACCTATACCTCCTACCTGTTCCCTATAGGTCTGTCATTTTAAAGAATGTTATATAAGCAGAGTTTTCAGCTAATAACTCCATAGGATTGCTTTTTTCATGAAGAATAATTCTCTGGAGATTTATCTAGGTTGCTTTATGTACCAATAGTTCATTCCAATTTTTTTTTTTTTTGGTCAGTTGTGGGGCTTGAACTCTAGGCTTGGGCACTGTCCCTGGGCTCTTCAGCTCAAAGTGAGTGCTCTACCGCTTTAGCCACAGTGCCACTTCCGGTTTTCTAGTGGTTTATTGGAGATAAGAGTCTCCCGGACTTTCCTGATCCGGCTGGCTTTGAACCGGGATGCTCAGATCTCAGCCTCCTGAGTAGCCAGGATTACAGGCCTGAGCCACTGGCGCCCAGCTCCGGGTTTTTTTTTTTAATTGCACCTTTACTTTGACTTTTGTTGTTGTTGTTGGTTGTGGGGCCTGAACTCTGGGCCTGGGCGCTGTCCCTCAGCTCTTCAGCTCAAGGCTAGTGCTCTACCACTTCCGCTTTTTCTGCTTATAAGGTGCTAAGGAATCAAACCCAGGGCCTCATGCATGCAAGGCAAGCACTCCCCCAGGAAGCCACCTTTCCAGCCCAGTTCATTTCATTTTTACAAGTAAGTAATATTTAGTGTATGGATGTACCAAAATGTATCTAATCATTTACATGGTTGAGGATGTGTGGTTTTCAGTTTTGGACTATTATACATTTGCTATAAAATATTCACTCATGCTGGGCACCGGTGGCTAATGCCTGTAATACTAGCTACTCAGGAGGCTGAGATCTGAGGATCACGGTTCAAAGACAGCCTGGGCAGGAAACTCCGTGAGATTCTTATCTCCAATAAACCACTAGAAAACCAGAAGTGGTAATGTGGCTCAAGCAGTAGGGCACTTCCCTTGAGCTGAAGAGCGCAGGGACAGCACCCAAACCCAGAGTTCAAGCCCCACAACCGACAAAAAAAATAAAAATAAAAATAAATTCGCTCACAAATAAACTTGTGGTTTTATGTTAACAAAAGCCTTTATTTCTCTGGGATAAATGCCCAGAAGTTAGCTTATTACTTTATAATCCAGTGTCAATATTCTTGGTATTCTTTTTTTTTTTTTTTTTTTGCTCAAGGCTAGCCCTCTATCACTTTGAGCCACAGCCCCACTTCTGGTTTTCTAGTGGTTAATTAGAGAAAAAAATCTCACAAACCTTCCTGCCCAGGCTGCCTTTGAATCATGATCCTCACATCTCAGCCTTCTGAGTAGCTAGGGTTATAGGTGTGAGTCACTAGTACCCAGCTTGGTGAGGATTGTTATCCCTATTTTACAGGAAGGAAAAATAGAATAGAGGGGCAGGTCCTATAACCAAGACCATTAGGATAGAATGTCAGAGTCTAGACCTGAATGCAAAAAATGACTACTCTTAGTTGGGCACCAGTGGCTTATGCCTCTAATCCTAGCTATTCAAGGAGGCTAAGATCTGAGGATCCGTGTTTGAAGCCAGCCCAGGCAGAAAAGTTCCAGTGAGACTCTTATCTTCAACTAACCACTCAAAAGTCAGAACTGGTGCTGTAGCTCAAGTGGTAGAATGTTAGCCTTGGGCACAAAGAAGCTCAAGGACATTGCCCAGGTGCTGAGGTCAAGCCCCACAATTGAAAAAAAAAAAAGACTACTCTTAGTTAAAGACTACTCTTATTAATTTTTGCTGAACAATTCCTAAAAAGTTTCAGCTGCACAAAGCTAATCTATTCATCTATTTTTTTTTTGAGGCGGGGATGGGGGGTTGGGGGGAGTACTAATCCTGGGGCCTCAATTTAGTGCTTGGGTACTGCCCCTGAGCTTTTGTGCTCAGGGCTAGGGTTTTACCACTTGAACCACATCTCCACTTTTGGCTTTTTGGTGGCTAATTGGAGATCAGAGTCCACTTTACCTTCCTGGCCATAATGAGATCCTCAGATCTCAACCTCCTAAGTAGCTAAGATTACAAATATGAGCCATCAGTGCCTGGCTTAAGCTAATTTTTATTAGCTTAATGCATGACTAATGTATATGAAGTCAAGCAATATATAAATATAGAGATTTTTCACCATTTAACATTTCACCTGAATCAGAAAGACAAAAAGTTCATACCTTTGTGAAGGTTGGAATTGACCCCCAGTAAAAATCTCTGAGTTTTTTTCAAGGATTTTTTTTATTTGCATCTTTTCCTCGCCTGAAAAAAAATAGATAAAAATATTTTAATGAATTTTACTAATCCAGATTATTATTTTAATTCTCTAGAATCATTCTTGTTCTGGTCTAGAATGAGAAATATCTGACTAAAAAGTGTTTCCTTGAGTTTGGATTGAGTGCTGTAGAGGATGGCTCTATTCTAAAAGTTTATTTTCCTTGCTCAGAGGGGAGAATTATATTCTGACACTCAGAATACAATCAAGTCATTTACTAGCCTTTCAGTTAGAATGACATAGCTGTTTCTGGAGACAAATGTTTTTGTATTTTCAAAGCAAACTGACCCAGTTCCTGTCAACAGACACCAGGGGGCGATGAAACCAAGAACTGCTTGTTCACTAAAGACTCCAAAGAGAAAAGACATTCCCAGAGTACTAACTATACTGCTTGGCTCTCAAAACAATCTAAAGAGAAGAAGCAGAAAATGGGGTCTTCAGTACTGAAAACCTAGTTCAATTGTCTTCAGTGCTCCTTGGCATCAAGCATCTAAAGTTATTATTCCTCCCCAATTCTCAGGAAAATGCTTTTCAGATACTTAAAATAGGGCCAGCATTTTCTTTCTCATCACTGAACTGCCCTAGTTTATAGAGATGAGAACAGATAAAGCAGCCAGCCCAGCTTCCAAATGCTCTGGATTCCCCTGGTCCTCAGATCCACGTGTTCACTAGGGGCTTACCAGAACACTGTTGCCTATAGCAGATATCAAGAAACTCTGAAAACTCACCAGTAGATAGATATAGAGATTCTTCTTCCTGCAATCTTTTTTTTTTCTTTGTCAGAGGTGGGTCTTGAACTCTGGGCCTGGGCACTGTCCCTGAGCTTTTCAGCTCAAGGCTAGCCCTCTACCACTTAAGCCACAGCACCACTTCCAGTTTTCTGGTGATTAACTGAAGCTAAGAGTTTCATGGACTTTCCTGCAGGGGCTGTCTTTGAACCGTGATCCCCAGACCTTAGCCTCCTGAGTAGCTAGGATTACAGGTGTGAGCTACCACCAGTGCCCGGCCTGCAATCCCTTTTTTTTTTTCAGTAATAAATTTATAGAAGACATAAACCAATTCCTAATAAGTATAATTTAGAGCTTGGGTAAAATAAGAGATTTTAGAGTCTGAGAAAGGAGAGTAAGGAGTTGAGATGAACTGGCTTGTCCAACATTATGTAAAACAGTGGCAAAACAGGCTTTAGAACCTAGCATACATCCTACTGAACACTGTCATGTCTCCTGGTATGGAGAGGGTATATATCACAGCTTTGGGTGGAAAATTGGGCAGAGAAGACCAAAAGAAGGGGATAAAGTAGAAATTCAAGGCTTTTGCATGTTCCAATGGAACTGGCCCTGGCTTTCTGACCTGCCTGTCCTACCACTTTTCCATCCTAGGCAAGCTTCCTCTAAAACACATACAGGGGCCAAGTTCAGACCAGACCCACAGAAAGTGATCAAGGGTAGAGCTTCCGCAGGAAAAGGTAGGTGGCCCAACACTCTGGGGACTTTTATTTATATTTTTTTGTTTTTTTGGTCTGGTCGTGGGGCTTGAACTCTGGGCCTGGGCGCTGTCCCTCAACTCTTCAGCTCAAGGCTAGCGCTCTACCACTTGAGACACAGGGTCACTTCCGGCTTTTTTTTTTTTGCTTATGTGGTGCTGAGGAATCGAACCCAGGGCCTCGAGCATGCAAGGCAAGCGCTCTACCACTGAGCCACCTTCCCAGCCCCTCTGGGGACTTTTAATACATATCCTGAGAACGTAACTATTCATCTAAAAGTTTGGTTTGTCTGCTGGGTTGAACCTAGAACCTTATTCGTGGCTAGGCAAGCACTCTTACTCTGAACTATATTCCAAGACCTTCATTAATTTTATTTTGGGACAGGATCTCATTAATTTATCCAGGCTGGCTTTCAAATTTATAATCCTCTTGACTTAGCCTCTTAAGTAGCTGGGATTATTGGCATGCAGTACCACACCCAGCTTTCACTCTGATTTAAAAATACAGGGCTGCATAAATGGCAAAAGTCTATATCTGTATACTTTTTTAAAAAAATCTGTAATAGAACCAATAGTTTGTTTATACCATGTGGCATACCATGGCTCCTAGTCCAATGTTAACTTCATATACTAGAAAGCTCCTCTTATTACACAGAAACCAAAAATTTCTAAGGGGTGGGTAATTATTATCTCTATGTTAAGATGGTAAGCAAGAAAAAGAAGATGGTGAAGCTTGGGCTGCTGAGGTGAAACTGAGCTCTAGCTTTTATTGTATCAATAACTAGTCCAATGGCTTGGGTAAATCTCTCAGATTACTCAACAAAGACATCATATACCTGCTGTGTGCCAACAAGGAGCCTAATTCTAGGTAGAGGGTGGGTAAATAAGCAATTATTACAGTGTATGCTATAATAAAAGTGGAGGTATAAACAATGCAACAAGGTAACTAAGGCTCCTGAGAAGCAGGGGTTCCTATTAATGAAAGGACATCACTGAGCTCTGTGTTCTCATCCACAAAATGAAAGGCCTAGATGAAATTATCTCCAAGAACCCTTCCAGTTGTAAATATCTGTGATCCTATAGTAAATGAAGGCAACAGATTCTCAAAGGAATCTGCTGTAGGGCTTACCATAGCCTTGAGGTTGAGAAAATGCACCTTGTATTCCTTCAAAGTCATCTTCTATGGGACTTGAAGTCTACAAAAGAAGAGCAAAGAAAGGAGGTTCAATGGAGGCTGAAAGTTCATCAAAAAGCCAAAGGAAGTCAGATGCAGGTGGCTCATATCTGTAATGCTAACTACTCAGGATGTTAAGATACAGAGGATTGTGGTTCAAAGCCAGCCAAGGCCAAAATAAAGTCTGAGACTCCATCTCCAACAGAACCAACAAGAAGCAGGGCTGGAGGCATGGTTCAAGTGGTAGAATGCCAGCTGAGCAAGCAAGCAGAGCAAGCTGCTAAAGGCCAAGAGTTCAAGGCCTAGTACTACACAGAGAAATTGAGAGAATTCTGTTGAAAATTTTTTGTAGTACTGGGGTTTGAACTCAAGACCTTTATATTGTTAGGTAGGTACTCTACCTCTGAGTCATACCTCCAGCTCCATTTTTTTTGCATTGTTGGGGATACAAATTGACCTTTTCCTGCTATAAGCTGTACCCTCAGTCCTCTTGATGTCTTAAACTTAGAATCCTTCATAAGATCTCTTCTGAGGTGATCTTAATAAGATCATATCTTGTTTTCCAGTACTGAGGAGTGTGAATTGAACTCAGGTCTCAAATATGCTATGCAATTGTTTTACCACTTAAACCATGTCTTCAGCCCCAAGTCTTCTTACAGAAAAAGAACAAATTACTCCCCAGACATCAGACATATATTTGTGCTATATGTTCTCAACAAGCTTTGCCTCTACCTCCTATAGTAAGGATTAATTACATGACTTTTCTTTGCATCACTATCCTCTGCTGATTCAAATATTGTAACAAAGATGTTTTAGCTATTGGGAGCTTTATCGGAAGAGTCTAAGAATGTTGAAAGAATTGCCAAAAATGGCTATAAGTCCAGACTGGCCTGGAACTCATGATCCTGCCTCAGCCTCCCCAGGATTACTGGCCTGTTCCATTACACCTAACTACATGGTTCAACCATGACTAGCTCAATGCTTTTTAAGTCTTTATATTACTTTTTTTCTTTTTCTTTTTCTCGATCATGGGGCTTGAACTCTGGGCCTGGGCACTGGCCTCAGCTCTTCAGCTCCAGGTGAGCGCTCTACAGCTTGAGCCATAGCACCACTTCTGGTTGTCTGAGATCAGAGTCTCATGGACTTTCCAGCCTGGGCTCGCTTTGAACCTCCATCCTCAGATCTCAGTGTCCTGAGTAGTTAGGATTACAGGCATGAGCCACCAGTGCCCAGCTTTTCTTTTCTTTTTGTTGGTTGCGGGGCCTGAGTAATATCCCTGAGCTCTTTTGCTTAAGGCTAGAGCTATATAACTTTGAGCCACGGCTCCAATTCCAGTTTCTGAGTAGTTAATTGGAGATAAAGAGTATTCTTTTGATGTATACTGGAATTTTTCCTGTCAGTCCTTCCTTTCCTCTACTCTACCTTCCTTGTCAATAAGTCTTTAAAGAGTAGCAGATTAAGAGAGAGGTGGAATAGAAATTATATAGGTAATAAATTTCATCTTACACATTTGATCTTGCAAAAGCTAGTGTACTCATTTGTTGTTGAACCCTTGCCTCTAGTACTGGCCTTCCCATCACTAACACTTGGCAGAGTGGACTTAATTCCCTACATCTACAGGTCATCAATTTTCACAAATAAAGAGAGAGCATGTAAGCTGGGTGCCAGTGGCTCATGTCTGTAATCCTAGCTACTCAGGAGGCTGAGATTTGAGGATCACAATTCAAAGCCAGCCCAGGCATGTAAAGTCTGTGAGAGTCTTATCTCCAATTAACCACCAGAAAACCAGCAGTGGCTCTGTGTGGCTCAAGTGGTAGGGTGTTTGCCTTGACCTTAAGTGCTCAGGGACAGTGCCCAGGCCCAGAGTTCAAGGCCCACAACCAACAAAAAGAAAGAAAGAATAAAAAAGAAAAGAAAAAAAAAAGAAAATGGAAGGAAGGAAGGAAGGAAGTGAATCAACAATGTGAATAAAAGAATTTTGGTGGCTAGGTATGTTGGCTCAAGCCTGTGATCATAGCTACTTGGAAGATAGAAATTAGGTTAAAGGCCAGCTCAAGCATGAAAATTCTTTTTTTTTGGTCAGTCGTGGGGCTTGAACTCTGAGCCTGGGCACTGCCCCTCAGCAATCCAGTTCAAGGCAAGCTCTCTACCACTTGAGCCACAGCTCCACTTCCAGTCTTCTGGAGATTAATTGGAGTTAAGAGTTTCACAGACTTTTCTGCCCGGGCTGGCACTGAATTATTATCCTCAGATCTCAGCCTCTTGAGTAGCTAGGATTATAGGCATAAATCACCGGCACCTGGCGAAAATTCTTGATACTCCATTTCAACCAATGTCGAGGCACAATTATGCTCACCTTTTATCCTAACCATAGGAGAAGCACAATGACTGGATGCAGTGGCTCATGGCTGTTCCCCAGCAACATGAGGAAACATAAGTGGATCAAAGCCTGTCCTAACATCAGAAAAAGAAGCCCTATCTGTAAAATAACCAAGCAAGAAGAAGGTGGAGGCATGGCTCAAGTGATAAAGTGCCTGCCCAGTAAGTATCAGTCTCTGAGTTTAATCTCCAGCACAACCAAAAAAACAATACAAAACAAAAAACAGACTCCAGTGACTCACATTTATAATCCTAGCTAGCTACTCAGGAAGTTGAAATCTGAAGATCATAGTTTGAAGTAAGCCTTGTCAGGAAAGTCCATGAGATTCTTTTTTTTTTTTTTTTTTTTGTGGGTCTGGGTGCTGTCCCTCATCTCTTCTCAAGGTAAGCACTCTACCATTTGAGCCACAGCACCACTTCTGGTTTTCTGGTGGTTAATTGGAGATAAGAGTCTCCTGGATGTTCCTGCTCGGGCTGCCTTTGAATCAGATCAGGTCTCAGCCTCCTGAGTAGCTAGGATTACAGGTGTGAGTTACAGTCATCCTGCTCCACAAGATTCATATCTCCAATAAACTATCAAAAAGCTGAATGCAGAGCTGCAGCTCAAGTGGTTAAGAACTAGCCTTGAACAAAAAAAGCTTAGGGATAGGTTCTAGGCCCCGAGTTCAAGCCCCAGGACCAGCACACACGCGCGTGCACACGCGTGAACACACACACACACACAACTAAAAAAACAGATCTTATGATCCTAAGGTGATAATTGGACATATAGTAAAAGGAATGTATACCTTCATAACCATGTTTATTGCATCTCTGTTCACAATGGCTTAACTATGGAATTGGCTGAGGTACCTACCCATCAACTGATGACATGGTACAGATAAACCATGGAATATTAGAAAGAAAGAAATTAGAAATAAAGAAAATGGGGGCTGGGAATGTGGCTTAGCGGCAGAGTGCTTGCCTAGCATGCATAAAGCTCAGTACCACATACACAGAAAAAGCTGGAAGTGGCACTGTGGCTCAAGGGGCAGAGTGCTAGCCTTGAGCAAAAAAGTAGCTCAGGGACAGTGCCCATGCCCTGAGTTCAAGCCCCAGAACTAGCAAAAAAAAGAAAGAAAGAAGAGAAAAGAAAGAAAGAAAATGAAATTCTGCCATTTTCAGAAAAGTGGAAGAAACTGGAGATCATCAGGTTAAATAACGTAAACTCAAAATGTCAAATACTGAATTTTTTTATTTGTGGAATCTAGACATAAAAGATATACATATACATATATGGGACTATTTTGGAGGATGTAAGGGAGGGGGAAGAGGGAAAAAGAATGTTGGACAAGTGGGGTCCAGTGGCTCACACCTGTAATCCAACTCAGGAGGCTGAGATCTGAGGATTGCAGTTTGAAGCCAGCTGGGGCAAGAAAGTCCGTGAGACTCTTATCTACCAGAAAATTGGAAGTAGTGCTGTGGCTCAAAGTGGTAGAGCACTAACCTTGAGCAAAACGCTCAGCAGAGGACAGAGATTAGGCCCTGAGTTCAAGCATCATGACCAACACCCCTTCCCTCCCCTCAAAAAAGGCTGGAGGATGAATAATATTGAAATACACAGTGTCTGTTTGAAGATAACATAAGGAAAGTCATTGAAAGCTACTGAGATTAATCTAACTAAATCATAATATATGCATGTGTAAATTGCTATGGTAATTATACCCTGTTTACAATTAGTACATGCAAAAAAATTTAAACAGAAATCAAGCTGGGTGCTGGTGGCTCATGCCTATAATCCTAACTACTCAAAAGGCTGAGATCTGAGGATCACAGTTTGAAGCCAGCCAGGGCAGGAAAGTGCAGGAAAACTCTTATGGCTAGTAAACTACGCAGATAAAGCTGGAATTAGTGCTATGGTCAATTGGTAAGAGTGCTAGCCCTGAGCAAAAGCAGCTCAGGGATAATATGTAAGCCCTGAGTTCAAGCCCCAGGACCAGAACACACAAAAACAAAACAAAACAAAAAGAAATCATAGGAAAGTAAAAGACTATTGTTGGGGATGAAAACCAAAAGAGAGAGGCAAGGCAACCAAAAAGGGTTGCACAACTAATATATGCTAATGAAAATATGTTCTGGTGGGGGTAGCGGGGGAGATGGGAAGGGATGGTAAGGGGTAACAAAGGAGGAGGCAACAATGCTTGATGAGAAATGCACTCATTACCTTGCTCATGTAATTATAACCCCTCTGTAAGGTATCTTTACAATATAAATAAATTCTTTAGCCAAGCACTGGTGGCTCATGCCTGTAATCCTAGCTACTCAGGAGGCTGAGATCTGAGGATCACAGTTCAAAGCCAGCCTAGGCAGGAAAGTTTGTGAGACACTTTTCTCCAATTAAGCACCAAAAAAAGTAGAGCTGTGGCCCAAGCAGTAGCCTTGAGCAAAGAAGTTAAGGGACAGTAACCAGGCCCTGTGTTCAAGTCCCAGATGGCACGCACGCGCACGCGCACACACACACACACACACACACACAGGCATTAGGAGTTCATGCCTATAATCCTAGCTGATCAGATATTTTGCTGGATTCCATGCCCTGTGTTCAAGTCCCAGATGGCACACACACACACACACACACACACACACACACACACACACACACACACACACACACACACACACACACACACACACACACAGAGCCAGGCATAAGGAGTTCATGCCTATAATCCTAGCTGATCAGATATTTTGCTAGATTCCATTTCCAAAACAGCCACGGCTGGAAGTGTAACTCAAGTGGTAGAGTATGAGCCTAGCAATCATGAGGCCCTGAGTTCAAACCCTAGTATTGAAAAAAGAAAAAAGAAGTATGAAAATATGAAAACCAAGCCAGGCACCAGTGGCTCATGCCTGTAATCCTAGCTATTGAGGAGGCTAAGATCTGAGGATCATGGTTCAAAGCCAGCCCCAGCAAGGAAAGTCTGTGAGACTCATATCTCCAATTAACTGCCAGAAAACAAAGTAGCACTGTGGCTCAAGTGGTAGAGTGCTCGCCTTGAGCTGAAGAGCTCATGGACAGCCCCCAGGCCCAGAGTTCAAGCCCCAGGACAGATAAAAAAAATGAAAACCATGGAAACTTTTTAATACAAGGTATTTTTCTCAATAAAAATGATTTAAGCCACTAACTCACACCTGGTTTGAAGTCAGCCTGGACAGGAAAAATCCAGTTAACCAACAAAATCAGAAGTAGAGCTGTGATAGAGGACCAGAGATAGTATCAAGACTCTTAGTTCAAACCCCAGTATTGATTTACACACACACACACACACACACACACACACACACACAGAGCCACCGTGCGCACGCGCGCACAAGAGAGAAAGAGAGACAGAGAGAGAGAGAGAGAGAGATTTAAAAGGAATAAGGCAAATATATGATGTTTACCTGTACAGATAAGTTTTCTTGAGCAGCAGAATAAAAATATTCATGGTCTGGAGTTAAAAACTCATCTGTTATGTCCTCAGAAGATTCTGCTGAATAAGTTGACTGCACAGATAGATTCTATTAATAATGTAAGAAAATCACTTTTAATTTGCTGTTTATTGTAAACAAATCCCTTTACAACTTAATGTAGTGGTAACAATGGGCTTGTCTGAGACTACCCAGAGCCCATGGACAGCTCAGCTGGCTCACCTCGTCTGTCTGTGGGCCACTGCTTGCCTTTTTACAATGCAGTTGTGAACTATTGCATCTCCTTGCAGAATAGGTGGAATTTAAGCAATCTTTCTGCTCTAAAATTCTAGGAGAGAAGAGAGGCCCTAGACAACTAAAGCTGACGACCAAATTTAAACACCATGACCTCTCAAGAGAAGATATAGCTGCATGCTAGTGTCACTGTGTACAAGAAGGATGAGGCTGCTCAGAACTTGCAAGTCCATCTCATATTATCTTTGAAAGCAAAGTGGAGCAACAGAATCTTTAAAATAGCAAAGCAGGGGGCTGGGAAGGTGGCTTAGTGGTAGAGTGCTTGCCTAGCATGCATGAAGCCCTGGGTTCGATTCCTCAGTAGCACATAAACTGAAAAAGCCAGAAGTGGTGCTGTGGCTCAAGTGATAGAATGCTATCCTTGAACAAAAGAAGCTCAGGACAGCACCCAAACCCTGAGTTCTGAGTTCTAGCCCCAGGACTGGCAAAAAATAGCAATGCAACTTCAATAATAAAAATAAAATTTTTGGCCAGGTGCTAGTAGCTCATGTCTGTAATCCTAGCTACTCAAGAGACTGAGACTGAGATCTGCGGACTGTGATTCGAAGTCAGCCAGGGCAAGAAAGTCTAAGACTTTTATTCCAATAAACTACTCAGAAAAAACTGGAGGAGCTGGGAAGGTGGCTCAGTGGTAAAGTGCTTGTCTCACATGCATGAGGCCCTGGATTGGATTCCTCAGAACCACATAAACAGAAAAAGCCGGAGATGATGCTGTGGCTCAAGTGGTAGAGGCTAGCCTTGAGCTGAAGAGCTAAGGGACAAGGCCCAGGCCCAAGACTAACAAAAGAAAAAAAAGAAAAAATAAAAACTGGAAGTGGCACTGTTGCTTAAGTAGTAGAGCACCAACCTTTAGAAAAAGAATCTCTGGGACAGTGCCCATGCCCTGAGGTCAATAATCATAATCATAACTATAATAAATGAATACATTTTTTGCCAGTCCTGGGGCTTGAACTAAGGGCCTGAGCACTGTCCCTGGACTTCTTTTTTTTTGGGAGGGGGGGTCGGTCATGGAGCCTGAACTCTGGGCCTGGGTGCTGTCCCTGAGCTCTTCAGCTCAAGGCTAGCGCTCTACCACTTGAGCCACAGTGCCACTTCCGGCTTTTATTCTCTTTGCTTATGTGGTGCTGAGGAATCGAACCCAGGGCCTCAGGCATGCAAGGCAAGCGCTCTACCACTGAGCCACCTTCCCAGCCCCCTGGGCTTCTTTTTTGCTCAAGGTTAGCACTCTACTACTTGAGCCATAGCACCACTTCTGGCTTTTTCTGTGTATGTGGTACTGAGGAACCAAACTCAGGGCTTCATGAATGCCAGGCAAGCACTCTACCACTAAGCCACATTCCCAGCCCAAATGAGTACAATTTTGGGTACTTTATTCTTGCCACTTCCCAACCTACCTTTCTCCATCTCTTTTGTGGTTCTAGGCACACCAGCCAACTGTATACAACTATTCTGACAATGTTTATTACTTACGAAAATCAGTGGACCTCTTAGAAAAATGATGCTTATTAACAAAATCTCATCTGAGTTTTAACTTTAGAAGTACATAATTAAAATATTAAGTAACAGCATTTCCTTTCCATATCTTCTTTTTCTGATTATTTCACTCCATTCAGGCCCTGAGTACACATAGCCTTACCTCCAGGTATGCCTACAGATATTTTGTGGTTTATTTCATTAGACACAGCTTTTTCCATTCATCTCTCTGTGCATTTTAGAGTGCTCAGTCCTTTGTTTCTTATATCATTAAAATTGCTCAGACAACCTGGCTTCCTGAGACCTTTCCCACTTAATACTGTATTGTGTCTTCAAAAGACCTTATATTACTATTGTATTTTTATATTGTCATTCTAACTGGCATGTAAACATATACATGTGTGTATATATCTACATATCTGTAGATCTACTGTGCACATATATATGTACATACACATGAACACACATATATACATATGTACACATATACATATATACACATGAATACAGGTGTGTGTGCTTTCTCACAAGTCTGGTGATCTACCACTTGAGCCACAGCTCCACTTGTGGCTTTCTGTTGACTAACTGGAAATGGACTTTCCTGCCCAGGTTGGTTTCAAATCTCAATCTTCAGATCTCAGCCTTCTGAGTAGCTAAGCTTACAGATGTGAGGGACCAGTGCCCAGTTTATATAGAAGTAACACACACAAATTATATATTTGTATATGTTACATATGCTATATATTTATTATATATATTTTTGTGCCAATCTTGGGGCTTGAACTCAGGACCTGGATGCTGTCCCTGAGCTTTCTAACTCAAGGATAGCACTCTACCACTTTCACCCACAGCACCACTTCTGGTTTTTTTTATGGTTAATTGGAAATATATCTCATAGACTTTCCTGCCTAGACTGACTTTGAACCATGATCCTTAGAGCTCAGCCTCCTGAGTAGCAGGCATGAGCCACTGATGCCAGCCAGTTTATATTTGTTAATGATTATATACAGTTAGTATATCTCATGCCTATAGATACTATTTTGATGTTATGATACATAAAGACAACTCAATTCTACTTTATTAGATCCTTGGGCTCAACTTGGCTCTATCTCCAGGTCCAATATTACTTACGCTGGAAGATTTCTCAATGGCCACAGATGTGTTGAAACTTGCTTGAAAAGCTCCACTATGCTTTGGCTGCTCATGTGTTCTGGAAGATGGGTGCCTGATATCTAGTGATTATAAAACAATCACAGACATGGTCATTCAATGAGATCAATAGGTTGCCGGGCGCTGGTGGCTCATGCCTGTAATCCTAGCTACTCAGGAGGCTGAGATCTGAGGATCTCGGTTCACAGCCAGCCCGGGCAGGAAAGACCGTAAGACTCCTATCTCCAATAAACCACCAGAAAACCGGAAGTGGCACTGTAGCTCAAGTGGTAGAGCGCCTGCCTTGAGCTGAAGAGCTGAGGGACAGCGCCCAGGCCCAGAGTTCAAGCCCCACGACTGACCAAAAAAAAAAAGAGTCTCACGGTCTTTCCTGCCTGGGCTGGCTTTGAACCGCGATCCTCAGATCTCAGCCTCCTGAGTAGCTACGATTATAGGCGTGAGCCACCGGCGGCCGGCTTGTTTACATATTTTTGAGAGCTGATACACTGAAATAGAACATGATAGTGTTCAGCTACCTCAATTCCCCCAAAATGAACTTACTGGTGAAACTTTGGGTCCCACGCTGTCTGACAGGCTTGTCTCTGTCATAGTCGCTGTTGTCCATCTTGCTAAACTTGACATTTCTTCCTGGTTCATCATTTTTGCTGTGATACTCTACAACTTGCTGCCAGTCCTCATTTTCAACGCCCGAAACAGGGGGCTGTAGTAGGTAATCATGCTCATTTTCAGGCTTACTCTTGAAAGTCAAACTACTCTGAGGATGCCAAGGAAGTAATGGAAGCTGCCCCATAACTGCTTTTTCTGCCATTTCTTTCACCTCCACTGGACACAGGAAAAATCATTTAAAGCATCACTGTTAACTTTAGAAACGGCACCTGATTTATCCTTTTAAGTTTATAAGATAATACTGATACAAAAAGATAATGCTCACAAACTATGTGAGAGTGACCCTGCATGTTCTCCCACTTGAAAAATGCTTATTGATTAGATATCTATTGTGTATTCTATTACACATGTTATATAATATGCATTTATAAAGACAATAGAAATATTTCTTGTCAAGTCTAAAAATACAAACATTTCCTTCTGCCGTTTCTAGTTAGAAGGGCATGGTTTTTAAGTTAGAATGATCTCAACCAGGCACTGGTAGCTCATACCTATAATCCTAGCTACTCCTAGCTGAGATTCTGAGGATTGCAGTTTAAAGCCAGCTAAGACAGGAAAGTCTGTAAGATACTTATCTCCAATTGAGCACCAAAAAAGCTGGAAATAGAGCTGTGGCTCAAGTGGTAGAGCACTAGCCTTGAGCACAGAAGTTCAGGGACAGTGCCCATGCCCTGAGTTCAAGCCCTAGGACCAGCACAAAAAAAAACAAAAACAAACAAACAAAAACACAAACAACCTTAGAGAAGAAAAATATAGGAGGACTTTGTTATGGCCCTAAAGTAAGATACATGCTCTGTACTTAAGAGATATCAAGCAGCCAGGCGCTGGTGGCTCACGCCTGTAATCCTAGCTACTCAGGAGGCTGAGATCTGAGGATCGCGCTTCAAAGCCAGCCCGGGGAAGGAGAGACCGTGAGACTCCTATCTCCAATAAACCACCAGAAAACCGGAAGTGGTGCTGTAGCTCAAGTGGTAGAGCGCTCGCCTTGAGCAGAAGAGCTGAGGGACAGCGCCCAGGCCCAGAGTTCAAGTCCCACGATCGAAAAAAAAAAAAAAAAAGAGAGAGATATCAAGCAGCGTCTTAGAAGATTGCTCAGTGGTACAGCACTTAACTAGCATATATATATATATCCAGTACTGCAAAACAAAACAGATGTCAACTAAGTTACTTTTAACTTTGTTTTTCTTCATACTCACTTTTCCATTTTAAGTGTACTTCATCATCTTCATTATTTCTTGACTTTGCATTACAGGTTTCAGAAGACCCATATTCCACATTAATCCTAAATTACAGCGTTATTTGGGAGGATGAGGTAGAAACAATGACACAAATATTAATTTGTTTCAGTGCCAGACAGAACTCTTTTGTTTGTTTGTTTTTGGTCTTGTCGTGGGGCCTGAACTCTGGGCCTGGGCATGGTCCCTCAGGTCTTCTGCTCAAGGCTAGCACTCTACCACTTGAGCCACAGCACCACTTCCGGCTTTTTTCTTTTTGCTTATGTGGTGCTGAGGAATCGAACCCTTGGCTTCAGGCATGCAAGGCAAACGCTCTACCACTGAGCCAACTTCCCAGCCCCCAGACAGAACTCTTAAACCCAGTATCATCCCCAAATTCTAGAGCTATTTCTGGAGCTGCACTGATCATGCCACCACTAGAGGGCACCAAGCCCCTCCCCGTTGAGACTGCAAGACTCCTTACCTGGTCGAGCTCTGGCAGGGGCTACATGACCCAGGAGATCTGAATGTATGACTTGACACTGGGAAAAGTACACTATTTGGCTGTGTGACTTTGGCTCGGGCACTAGACTCCATAGAACTTTCTTGGCTGAAAAATGAAAAGATTAGGCTTAGAGGATCTCAAGTTTTTTCATTTCCAAATTCAGATTTCATGATTCTAAAAATGCACTTGGGAAATTTTCAGAAGTAGATCAAAGCCATAATTGAAATACAGTTTTGTCAGCCAGAAGCCTGTTCCAGGGAAATTCACCCTACCGGCAGTGTCATAAATCAAGGGTTCACTTAAGGTTCAGTTCCTGTCCTTCTATCAGAATTGTTATCAGGCCCACTGGTATATCCATAATAACATAATAACTAACTTTTGTCAAGACAATCATAAGATAACAGAATCCTGAAAATGCATTCTGAGACCTTCAGTTTAGTATCTCTGAGTTCAGGACCCTAACTGGTTAGATCAGTTGTCTGATTTTCAGCAAATGTCAATTTCTCTAGACTAGAATTTCTTTTTTTTTTTTCCTGTGTATGTGGTACTGAGGAATTGAACCCAGGGCCTCATGCATGCAAGGCAAGCACTCTACCACTGAGCCACTTTCCCAGCCTCTGGACTAGGATTTCTTATCTGTAAAATAGTCTTTTTCCCCCCTCTCTAAATATCCTACAATTATATACATTTTGCTTTCTATTAAAGTAACTCTTCAAAAATGTGGCTCATGGACTAAGAAACTGGCTTAGTGGTAGAGTGCTTGCCTAGCATGAATCAAGACCTGGGTTCAATTCTGCAGTACCACATAAACAGAAAAAAAGCCAGAAGTGATACTATGGCTCAAGTGGTAGAGTTCCAGCCTTGAGCAAAAGAAGCTCTGGGACAGTGTCCAGGCCCTGAATTCAAGCCCAACGACAGGCAAAAAAAAAAAAAAAGTGGCTCACACCTGTACTTCTAGCTACTTAGGATTCTAAGATCTAAAGATCATGGTTTGAAGACAGCCTGGGCAAGAAAGTCCGTAAGATGCTTATCTCCAATTAACCAGCCAAAACCCAAAAGTAGAAGTATGACTCAGATGGTAGAGCTCCAGCCTTGAGTGAAAAGGCCAAAGAGATAGTGCCCAGACCGAGTTTAAGCTCCAGTACTGGCATGGGCGCACACACACACACACACACACACACACACACACACACACACACATTGTATATCTATGACACAGATATAAAATCCTCATTGTGCCTGACAACGGTGGCTCAAGCCTGTAATCCTAGCTACTCAGGAGGCTGAGATCTAAAGATCACGGTTCAAAGCCAGCCCAGGCAGGAAAGTCCGTGAAACTCTTATCTCCAATAAAACCACAGAAAACCGGAAGTGGTGCTGTAGCTCAAGTGGTAGAGCACTCACCTTGAGCTGAAGAGCTGAGGGACAGCACCCAGGCCCAGAGTTCAAGCCCCACAACCAACCAAAAAATAAAAATCCTCATTGTCCAGAATGCACTACTCCCCGGCTAGACTGAAAGCAGGGAAGACAGCTAAAATCAGCTTCTTTCAAGAGCTTTTTGGCAACAACTATCAAGAATCTTTAAAATGCTCAAAGCCTTTGACCTAGTAATTCTGCTTCTGGAAATCTATTCTGAGGACATAATCTAAAAATTTTTTTAATGTTAGTTTATAAATTGTTCCTAACAGAATAAAGAATGCAATAGACTAAAAATTTAACATGGGAAGAAATCCAACAATTTCAAAGTAAGTTTACAGAGTTTTTTAATTAACATAAAAAATGCTTATTTATTTAATGTAAAGTGATAAATTAGGATATAAAATTGCTTACATAGGTATGGTGGCACACATCTAGGATTATAATCCCAACACTCATCAGATTGAGAATGAAGATCACTAAGTGTCCTTAGGGACAGACAACATGAGGTGTAAGACAGAGTGACAGGAAGAAATACAAAATGTTGACCTACCTACTCTTTTGGTTCCTGCTTCTTTCCAAAGTGTCCTTACTTCCTCGAGTATGTTGAAGTTGTTCATCTGTGTTCTGTTTTCCAGGACTACACAGAGTTGGCATCTTAAAAAAAAAAGCATATTTCAGTGTTTTGAGAAGGGAATTCTATTCATTCTCACACTCTGTTTCAAGTCATGTCTAACCCAGAGGCTTCTTTACCCAGAAACGTTGGCCCCCAAGAGCCCAGTCCAAACAGACTGCAGTGAGGAGACAAAATAGAAATCAAGGGGTTAGGAAGTTGGCTCAGTGGTAGAGTGCTTGCCTTGCATGTATGAGGCCCTGGGTTCGATTCCTCAGCACCACATAAGCAGAAAAAAGCTGGAAGTGGCACTGTGGCTCAAGTGGTAGAGCGCTAGCCTTGAGCTGAAGAGCTGAGGGACAGCGCCCAGGTCAAGTTCAGGCCCCATGACGGACAAAAAAAAAAAAATCAAAGATCTTCCCTGAACCTTTTCTCCCATATTAATATGAAAGCAACAGATCTTTGTGGCAGAAGCCCTAGGCCTTGGATTCTAGCTCAAACCTTACTCAGACTAATTCAAGCGTCTCTTACTGTCACTTCCTCACCTATAAAACAGGGACAATATTACCTCTCAGTAGGGATGCTGTGAAAATAAAACACAATAACTGAATGCAGCAGCTCATACTTCCAATCCTACTACTTGTGAGGATGAAATGAGGAGGAGGAATGAAATTTGTGGCCATCCTCAAATAGTTCATGAGACCCCCATACTCAACCAATAAAAAAACTGGGTGTGGTGGCATGTGCCTGTCATCCTATGTATATGAAAATTGTTAATAGGATTGTGATCTAGACCACCCTGCTAAAAAACAAGACTCAGCTGGGTGCTAGTGGCTCAAATCTGTTATCCTAGCTACTCAGGAGGCTGAGATCTGAGGATAGTGGTTCGAAACCAACCCAAGCAAGAAAGTCCATGAGACTTATCTCCAATAAACTATTCAAAAAAGGTGGAAGTAGTACTGTGAACCAAATGATAGAGCACTAGCCTTGAGAAAAAGAAGCTCAGGGATAGTACCCAGGCCCAGAGTTCAAGCCTCAGGACTGCTGAGAGAGGGAGGGGGAAGGGAAAAAAAGGGGAAGAGAGAGAGGGACAGAGAGGGAGGGAGGGAGAAACTCTTCGCTGGTCACTGGTGACTCACATCTGTAATCCTAGGTATTCAGGAGGCTGAGATCTGAGAACTGCAGTTCAAAGCTAACCCAGGCATGAAAGTCAGAAAGTGGATCTGTGGCTCAACTACTAGAGTACTAGCCTTGTGCACAAAAACTTGGAAATAGTGTCCAGGCCCTGATTTCAGGCCTTAGGACTTGCACAAAAAAAACCTCTTGTATCATAATCTTCCTGATAATAGCCTCCCAATTACAGATGAGCCACAGTGCCTGGGTGGGTGAGACAAATGAAAATAAAAAGGCAAACAAAAACCTCTGGAAGTTTATGATCTTGAGCTTAAGGTTGACACTGTGTAAAATGAGAATTGATCCATGTCTTTTTTTTTTTTTTTTTTGGTCCAGTCGTGGGGCCTGAACTCTGGGCCTGGGCGCTGTCCCTCAGCTCTTCAGCTCAAGGCCAGCTCTCTACCACTTGAGCCACAGCGCCACTTCCGGCTTTTTTCTTATGTGGTGCTGAGGAATCAAACCCAGGGCCTCATGCATGCAAGGCAAACACTCTACCACTGAGCCACCTTCCCAGTCCCTCTCTGAACTTCTTTTGTTCAAGTATAGCATTCTACCACTTAAGTCACATACCGCTTCTAGCTTTTTCTGTTTATCTGGTTCTAAGGAATCGAACCCAGGGCTTCATGTATGTTAGGCAAGCACTCTACCACAAAGCCACATTCCCAGCCCTGTGGAAATGTTTTTTGAGTGAGGGAATGAGCAATTTCAAATGGGATTAATACCCATCCAAAAAATCTAATAAAGCCATGCACTGGTGGCTCATGGCTCACGTCTGTACTCAGGAGGCTAAGACTTGAAGATCATGGTTGACGCCAGCCCCAGTAGACAAATCTGAGAGACTTTTATCTCCTATTAATTGGTAAAAGACTGGAAGTGGAGTTGTGGCTTAAGTGATGGGATGTCAGCCTTGAGTAAAGAGCTAATTGAAAGCATGAAGCCCTGAGTTCAAGTCCCAGTATCCAGACCCAGACCCAGACCCAGAACCCCCCCCCCACACACGTACTTAATAAGTTAAACTATGTGAATCATATGGTTCAGCCTAATATAAACAAATTTACAGAGGAGTTAAAAGTAACTACCTTGAGCAGGAGCTAGTGCCTCATGCCTGTTATCCTATCTATTTAGGAGGCTGAGATCTGAGGATCAGGGTTCAAAGCCAGTCTGGGCAGAAAAGTCACCATGAGACTCTTACCTCCAATTAACTACTCAAAAACTGGAAGTGGCACTGTGGCTCAAAGTGGTAGAGCTAGCCTTGAGCAAAAGAGCTCAGAAACAGTGCCCAAGCCCTGAGTTCAAGCCCCACAATTGACAAGATAAAATAAAATAAAATAACTACCTCAAAATTCTACCTTAGAGGTCTTATATCCCAAAACAAAGAGGACCTTGCATTGATGCCATTCACTGCACAGGCAATGTCGTTACCAGGGTCCCACTTAGGTTGTTCTTTCCTCCCATTTTGATTTACCTGATGGTTTGCCTCTGCCTGGTCTCCAGTGTTTTCTTCAGTGACTTGGGCAAAAGGTTTCCAGTGATAGCCACTTTGTGTCTTTGGCCTTTTGCCAAGATGGCCCCCTTGAAAGTCTTTCACTGTTCTTAGAGAACCTGCTAGGGTTGGGCAATTGCCACTGGCATCTGACTGCTGCTCCCCTGACAGCTTCATGACAGGAGGAATATAACTAAAAGATGGAGGTCCCATGGCTGAAGGGAAATTGTAGGCACCTGAAAACCCTCTTGAGGTTTCCCACAGAGACCTGCACTCCTGTTCCTTCACTATCAACTCAAACTTATCCAGTTTCTGCTCAATAGTCCTCAGCATATCAGCATTCTGGTGAATCAATGTCTGTGAAATCTTGAGATTCAGCACACATTTACTGATGTAATCCTCAGTCATAGACCTGCTATTCACTTTGCCCTTGCCTTCTCTGATTGGCTGAGACTGATTGAATGAACTGAATGAATCATTTTGCCAGTCCCAGTCCCCAAAGGAGAGCCCCGTGTCAATGTCTGAAAAGCTCTCATCTTCATCACAAGAAGTATTCACTTCTTTCTCCATCTTATCCAACTCTTCTTCCAGAGATTGTAACTCATCTGGCTGGTTTGGTCTATCCTCCTCAAGAGAGGAAGCCATTTCTGGGTGTTTGTTCTCCTTGTAAACCCCCAAGTTCACACAGCCTGAGTAGATTTCATTGATTTCGAAGCTGCAGAGACTTGCCTGACTTGCACTGAGGCTCCTTGCCTCTTGTGGCACAAGTGGAGGAGGAGGAGGAGGAGGAGGCTCCTGGGCGGTCGAACTTGGATCTGGAGACTGAGGAGCTAGTGTTTTGTCAATGGAACAAGAGTACTCCCTTGGTGAATGGCTTTGTCTGCCTGTTGGAAACAGTGCAACACAAAACTGGTTAAAGTGAAGACACGGTCAGCAGATAAGCAAGCAGCCTGCTTATTGCTCAAGAAGCCCAAGAACATGGGAGGGAGGAGGAAGCTTTTCACTCCCAACTTTCTCAGGAAGTGAAATCCTAGTGAAAGACCGATGGATACACTACATAGGAAAAGACTATTTCTAACCTAGATGAAACTTCCAATTTTCTTTTTTTTATTTTTAGGTCCAAGACCAAAACTCAAACTTGGTACCTGACACTTTCATTCACAGGCTAGTGTTCTACCAACTGAGTCACTCCTCCAACCCCAATTTTGATGTAAGACAGAAATTAATATACTCTTTATTTATAGTGTGTTCAAAACACATCTAACAGTCAAAAACAAGTCCCTGGATCTCAAGGACTAGACTGTCTTTTTTTGGACAAGAGTGTGGCTATGTCAGTTACAGTTAAGTTTTTGGTCAGCATCTGATAAAAGTTGTCAAGACACAGCCCCAAAAGACACTGTATTATGTGAATAATAACTCAAAAACAATGCCAAAGCTAATCCACACATCTCTTCTGTTTGACTGGTATACAGCTTGCAGGAAATGGGATGGAGACAAATAATGAGCACTTGGAGGGTGGACTACTCTGGAAGGCTCCATCCCTGCCAAAAGAGTTTTGAGTGAATGGTGATTACACTGGGATTATAATACCTGAGTTCCACTTGTAATCATAACCTCCTTAAACCTTAGTGATCTCATCTACAATGGGGAGGTATTAAGTTTCATGATTGCAAGGCCTTTTCCAGCTCAAAAACTCTAATGTTCTAAAAATCAGTAAGAGAGCTGGGAAGGTGGCTCAGTGGTAGAGTGCTTGCCTTGCATGCATGAGGCCCTGGGTTCGATTCCTCAGCACCACATAAGCAGAAAAAGCTAGAAGTGGCTCTATGTTTCAAGTGGTAGAACGCTAGCCTTGTGCTGAAGAGCTGAGGGACAGCTCCCAGGCCCAGAGTTCAGGCCCCATGACCGACAAAAATAAATTAATTAAATTAAAAATAAAAATCAGTAAGAAATATCAAAATGTTAACCAATTAATTCTCCTTAGGCAGCTGAATTAAAACAGAAACTTTCTTTTTTATACTATTCCAAATTTTCTATAAGGAACAAATGATAGAAAGAGGAAGGTGTTTTGGTTTTTTGACATGTTGCTTTGTTACTTTGCCAAGCTGGCCTTAAATTCCTGAGCTCTAAAGCTGCTCCTATCTTAGCCTCTGGAGTAGCTAAGATTACAAGTACGTAACATCACACTATACTTCGTTAGTAGATAATAGTCTTATTTTTTTTAAATCAGGGCTGAAGGAGTGGCTCAAGTGGTGGAGTGACTACCTAGCAAGAACAAACCCCAGTACTGACAAAAAATTAAAATAAAAAATTCGTTAGTGAAGCAATTCGTTGTTTTGTTTTGTTTTTTGGCTAGTCGTGGGGCTTGAATTCAGGGCCTGGATGCATTTTGGCTTTTGGGTAGTTTATTGGAGGTAAGAGTTTCATGGGGGGCTGGGAATGTGGCTTAGTGGTAGAGTGTTTGCCTAGCATGCATGAAGCCCTGAGTTCAGTTCCTCAGTACCACATAAACAGAAAAAGCCAGCAGTGGCACTATGATCTAAGTGGTAGAGTGCTATCCTTGAGCAAAAGAAGCTCAGATACAGTGCTTAGGCCTTGAGTTCAAGCCGTAGGACTGGCAAAAAAAAAAAAAGTCTCATGTATTTTCCTGCCTAATCTGGCTTTGAACCACAATTCTCAGATCTCTGCCTCCTGAGTAGCTAGGACTACAGGGGTGAGCCACTGGTGCCTGGCTTCAAATTCTTAAGAATAACTGTGTTATGTCACGCACAGATGGTTCATACCTGCGATTACACAGAAGGCTGAAACCCAGAAGATCAAAGTTTGAAGCCAGCCTACGGCAAAAAGTCTGTGATACTCCATCTCCAATTAACAAGCAAAATGCTGGATTAGAGGTGTACCTCAGGTGGCAGAGTACCAGTCATAAGCAAAACAGCTTGAGTGAGAGTGCTAGCCCTGAGTTCAAGACCCTGGTATATATAACATGCAAACACATGCACGCGCACATGCGCATGCGCGCATGCATACACAGACAATTATAGCTAGAAACAAACTCATTGTTATTACTTAGTTCTGAATTTAGTCCAAGTGTTTATAGAACTCATTTAACTTGGAGGAAATTACTAGCTTCAGCTCAAAACACATTGATATCAAAGTGGTGTACTTCATTTGTGAGTTAACAGCATACCTGTCTCCTTTAGCTCTTTGATTTCAAAAACTGGGGTCTCTTTTCGATGTTCTGAAATTAGTCCTAGATACTCATTGACATTAGGCTGGGGTTCATATCTCTGTATCCTGGGACTCTTAGTTGGTGGAGTCCTCTGGGCTCCAATGAACTCCTATAACATTGGAAATACTGTCAAGGACATATTTATAGTCATCTGAATGTCATAGTGTTCCAAAACTTATCTATATGGCAAATAAACTCCCTCCTATGTTTATTGCACAGACTGACTGTAGTCCTAAGCAGCTTATTTCTTGTTATTCCAGCAATACTAGCTGCCATTCATGGAATCTTCACTGTGCCTACAGTGAACCTCTCAGCTCTTCTCAACAACCCACTGCCTTCACCAAGCAACCTTTTCTCAGCAACAGTGAAAGAGTATAATAAAGTGAAGATTTCCAAACCTTCTATAACTTGGTACCCACTTTCCTGACAAGAATAAGAAGAAATAAAGTCCCAACAACTTCAGGGCTTGCCTTTAAGTCATTCTTCAGAATATACCGGATGTCCTGAAGGTTCAGAGTTCGGTCTTTCTGCTTGACTTGGATGCCTGACTTAACAATATCATAGTAAGGTTTTGGAAGCCTGACATCAGCTTTTAAATAATTTCCCAAGACTATGGCTTCTTTAATAGCCAAGCCGTCTAAGCCATCCCAGGGTATGTTGTCTGTAAGGAAAAGGTCAGAGGAAAGAATATGATAAACATTTGCTGAAGTTGTATAAATGTAGTCAAGTCATTCAACTTCTTTTTTTTCTGTAGAAAACTACCTGAAGCTGGGCACCAGTGGCTCATGCCTGTGATCCTAGTTACTCAGGAGGCTGAGATTCGAGGATCATGGTTCAAAGACAGCCTGGGGGGGTGGGGAGGGAGATGGGAAGGGATGGGAAGGGGAAACAAAGGAGGCAACAATGCTTGATAAGAAATGTACTCATTACCTTGCTCATATAATTGTAACTCCTCTGTATGGTATTTTCACAATTAAAAAATTAAAAAAAAAAAGCCAGCCCAGGCAGGAAAGTCTGTGAAACTTTTTTTTTTAATTTAAAAAAAAATTTTTTTGGGGGGTCCGGTCGTGGGGCCTGAACTCTGGGCCTGGGCACTGTACCTCAGCTCTTCAGCTCAAGGCTAGTGCTCTACCACTTGAGCCACAGAGCCATTTCCAGCTTTTTTCTTTTTGCTAATGTGGTGCTGAGGAATCGAACCCAGGGCCTCAGACATGCAAGGCAAACGCTCTACCACTGAGCTACCTTCCCAGCCCTCTGTGAGACTCTTATCTCCAATTAACCACCAGAAAACCAGAAGTGGTACTGTACTGTGGCTCAAGTGGCAGAGGCTTGCCTTGAGCTGAAGAGTTCAGGGACAGCACCCAGGCCCAGAGTTCAAGCCCCATTACTGATGAAAGAACGGAAGGAAGGAAGGAAGGAAGGAAGGAAAGAAGGAAGGAAGGAAGGAAGGAAGGGACTACCTGAAAGTTTATTCACAAGCAAGTAACCTGCTAGAGTCAGAAAATAGTAGTGTATGAATCACAGTGGGCCCTCCATTGGCAGACGTGACAAACCTGGGCTACGACATTAGGAGGGGTAGCCATTGTATTTATTCATCTTATGGGAGGAATGGTTTCTCCTCTGAAACTGCAAACACCACTAAAGGTAGTTGACTGTTGTTACTCCCTAATTGAATATACTTTTATTTTGAGTGTGTGTGTGTGCTTATACATGTGGTACTGAAGTTTAAACTAAGGGTCTTAGATTTAGTAGGCCAGGCACGATACCACTTTAGCCATGCCACCAGCCTTTTAGCTTTTGTTATTTTTTGTTGTTGTTCGTGGGACCTGAACTCTGGGCCTGGGCGCTGGCGCTGTCCTTCAGCTCTTCAGCTCAAGGCTAGTACTCTACCACTTGAGCCACAGCACCACTTCCAGCTTTTTCTGTTTATGTGGTGCTGAGGAATCAAACACAGGGCCTCATGCATGCAAGGCAAGTACTCTACCACTACACCACTTTCCAGCCCCTTGTTATTTTTTTAATAGGATCTCATGTTTATGTTAAGGCCATTCTGGATTGCAATCTTATTTATGTTTCTGGATCAATTTGAATGACTAAACCCACTTTTTTTACTGGTTGAGAAAAGGTCCCATCTTTTTTATTGGAATGGTCTCAAACCATGATCTTCCATATCTTCACCTCCCAAGTAGCTAGGATTAAAAGGTGAGACACCAGGCCCAACTTGTGTTTCTCTCTGAAGGAGTTCTTCTGTCTTCAGTTATGTGAAGACAGTTACTCCCATCACATCCTATAAATTTGAAAAGGCTTTTATTTCTTTCAGGTCACACAGCTTACATACCTACTAGCTCCTATATTAAATTCCTATTTGTTTCTCTGAGGCAAATCATCTCTTTAAAGGGCATTCCAGGGGGATTCTTAAATACTGACTCCAATATGTAGTTTAAAAACTTTGCTTGGGGCCTGGGAATGTGGCTTAGTGGTAAAGTGCTTGCTTAATTAGCATGTATGAAGCCCTGGGTTCAATTCCTCAGTAATACATACACAGGAAAAGTCACAAGTGGCACAATGCCTCAAGTGGCAGAGTACCAGCCTTGAGCAAAAGCAGTTCAGGGACAGCACCTAGGCCCTGAGTTCAAACTCCAGGACTGCCTAAAAAAACAGCAACAACAAAAAAAAAAACCCACTTTGCTTGGGATGCTAGGGGTATGGCTCGGTAATAGAATTTTTTTCCAGTCCTGGGGCTTAAACTCAAGGCTGGGTACTGTCCCTGAGCTTCATTTTGCTCAAGGCTAGCACTCTGCCACTTGAGCCACAGTTCCATTTCTGACTTTTTGGTGGTTAGTTGAGGTAAGAGTGTCACAGAGCCGGCCGCTGGTGGCTCACGCCTGTAATCCTAGCTACTCAGGAGGCTGAGATCTGAGGATAATGGTTCAAAGCCAGCTTGTGCAGGAAAGTCCGTGAGTCTCTTATCTCCAATAAACCACTAGAAAACCGCTTGAAGTGGCACTGTGGCTCAAGTGGTAGAGGGCTTGCCTTGAGCTGAAGGATAGCGCCCAAGCCCAGAGTTCAAGCCCCATGACCGAAAAAATAAAAAAAAGAAGAAGAAGAAAAAGAGTGTTACAGATTTTCCTGCCAATGCCACCTTCAAATTGTAATCCTCAGCTGTGAGACTACTGAGTAGCTAGAATTACAGGCATACACCACTAGTGCCCAGGCTCCATCTTTTTTTTTTTTGCCGGTTGTGGGGCCCGAACTCTGGGCCTGAGTAGTGTCCCTAGCACTCTACCACTTCAGCCACAGTGCAACTTCCAGCTTTTTTTGCTTATGTGGTACTGAGGAATTAAACACAGGGCCTTATGCATGCAAGGCAAGCACTCTACCACTAAGCCACCTCCCCAGCCCAGGGCACCATCTTATATAAGATATATTTAACATCTTTTCTGAAACCTTTAAAAGTTTCCTTGAAGAAACTATTTTCAAAGTCATGTACTTTTTTTTTTCTTTTTGCTGGTCATAGGGTTTGAACTCATAGGCTGGCTAGTATCCTTGAGTTCTTTTTGCTCAAGACTAGTTCTCCAACACTTTGAGCCACAGCACCACTTTGTTTTATGGTGGTTAATTGGAGATAAGAGTTTTACGGGGAAGTGGCACTGTAGCTCTAGTTGTAGAGAGCTTGCCTTGAGCTGAAGAGCTCAGAGACAATGTCCAGGCTCAGAGTTCAAGTACTACAACCCACACACACACAAAAATAGTTTAGCTGGGTGCCGATGGCTCACGCCTGTAATTCTAGCTACTCAGGAGGTTAAGATTTGAGGATCATGGTTCAAAGCCAGCCCGGGCAGGAAAGTCCAGGAGACTCTTATCTCCAATTAACCATCAGAAAACCAGAAGTGGCACTGTGGCTCAGGGGGTAGAGTGCTCCCCTTGAGCTGAAGCACTAAGGGACAGTGCCTAGGCCCAGAGTTCAAGCGCCCCCCCCAACAACAAAAAAAAAAACCAAGATTCACATATTTTCCTGCCCCAACTGGCTCTGAACCATGATCCTCAGATCTCAGCCTCCTGAGTTCAAGCCCCAAGACTAGCACAAAAAGAGAGAGAGAGAGAGAGAGTAAGAGACTGTTGTCAACTGTTAATGTGCTCCTTGATCACCTGTTAAAATTTCTTGTATGATCATGGAATAGCTGTAGATGTCAGACTTTATGGTGGCTGCCTTTTGTAAGATCACTTCCGGTGCGGCCCAGTTGTAGAGTTGGGTTGGAAGGGGTATTCGAGTCAGGTCCCTATACACACCATTGTCCTGTCTATAGAAGGAAATACATAAGACAGAATCATATCTGCAATCACCACACACTACATTTAGATATTTGCCTGAGAAGATTGGCAATCTCTTTGAACTTCTGGAAACATAGCTAGACAATGAGCTAACTCATGCTGCCTCAGAGCTGTTCCAATACCTTACCATTCCTGTTTACTGGCCCTGTCTACTCTTCATTTAGTCACTTTCTCCTAACAAGCCCACTAAAGTTACAAGGCCTTCCTTTGTTTATCTTGGCATGCTCTGCCCATAGATGCTAGCCTGACTGGCTGCTTCCACTGATGAGGTATTAGTTTGAAAGCCACTTCCTCAAAGAACCCTTCCCTGATCACCTACTCAAAAGCAGCCCTGTATGGGCTGGGAATATGGCTTAGTGTTAGAGTGCTTGCCTCCTAGCATGCATGAAGCCCTGGTTTGGATTCCTAAGTACCATATAAACAGAAAAAGCCAGAAGTGGCGCTGTGGTTCAAGTGGTAGAATGCTAGCCTTGAGCACAGAAAGGCTCAAGAACAGTGCCCAGGCCCTGAGTTCAAGCAACAGGATTAGAAAAAAAAATCACTACATCCCAAGTTTACACTATGGGTGTGAGGCTTGTTTATGAATACTGGTTCAGGACTTCCTCCAAGTCCCATTTGCTATATCAAAGCCACTTTGTTCTTCTCTAATATCTTTTGATTGCTTCTTTTCTGATAGCCTGCCCTCTTGGGAACAAGTCCTCTCAGTTCAATACAAAGGTTCACTGATTTGTATGAATAACTCATCTTTCCAACCAGACAAGCTAAATCAGAGCTTCCTTGGCCAATGAGTCCTCAGAGTGAGGCCAGTACCAACTTCTACCCACAACTGTCATGATAATCAAATGAGATCATGGATATGGAAATGCTTAGCGAGCCACAAAGTACTCCACCAAGGGGCTGGGAATGTGGCTCAGTGGTAGAGCGTTTGCCTTGCATGCATGAGGCCCTGGGTTCAATTCCTCAGCACCACATAAGCAGAAAAAGCTGAAAGTGGTGCTGTGGCTCAAGTGGTAGAGCACTAGCCTTGAGCTGAAGAGCTGAGGGACTGCATTCAGACTCAGAGTTCAGGCCCCACAACCACCACCAATAACAACAAAATAAAGTACTCCACCGAGTAAGGAGTTCATACGGACATTATGTAGGCATTCAATAAAGACTTGGTGATTGGCTGGCTGATCATGAAGAATTGTTTTTGGCTGGGTGCTGGTGGCTTACACCTGTAATCCTAGCTACTCAGGAAGTTGAGATCTGGGAGTCTCATTTTGAAACCATCCTGGGCGGGACAATTATTATCTCCAATAAATTCCCAAAAAGCTGGAAGTGGAGCTGTGTGATTCAAGGGTAGAGCACTGGCCTTGGTCAAAAAAGCTAAGAAACAGCACCTAGGCCCTCAGTTTCAAGCCCTAGTTCCAGAAGAAAAAAAATTGGAAAAATAAGAAACAATAAGTTCTTTACTAGTCTAGCATAAGGATAGATTTTAGAGGGCGATGGGCATCTCAGAGAAAACTTTTCAAATGTTTCTTTTAGCTGAACTTTTGATAATTATCAGTGAGTTCAAGATATCATAAATTTGTAAAATCTGGGCTGGGAAGATAGCTCAGTGGAAGAGTGCTTGTCTTGCATGCATGAGGCCCTGGGTTCAATTCCTCAGCACCACATAAGCTGAAAAAACTGGAAGTGGTGCTGTGGCTCAAGTAGTATAGTATTAGCCTTGAGCTGAAGAGCGGAGGGACAGCACCCAGGCCCAGAGTTCAGGCCTCATGACCAACAACAACAAAAAAAAATTAGAAAATCTACTACTAGATAATCATGTGTGCCTGATATAGTATGGATATACATGCATACTTAATATATATTTATATGTTTAATGTGTAAATTTGGTATGTACATTATATGTTTATATATTAAATTAATTAGTGTCACATAAAAGATAGTTGATTTCTTTTGGGCAGTTCTGGGGATCAAACCCAGTGCCAGTGCTATATATATCCTCAGATCCCAGAATAGGCAATGGAGTATTTTATCGTCAGAGTTATAAATACAAATAGTTTATATTCTGAGACACTAACATGCTTGGCTCTTCAATTTGGAAGACATTTCGACAATGAAACATTCCATTTCAGGCCTCCCATGCTTGTTCAAGGAATAATAATTCCTCTGACAAGGAATAAGGACTTGAACTCAGGGCCTTACACTTGCCTGGCTTGCACTCTACCATTTGACCAGTTGACTTTTTTCTGATTATTTTGAAGATAGAATCTCACAGACTTTTCTGCCCAGGCTGGCTCCGAGGTCTCAGCCTCTTGAGTAGCTAAGTTACAGTCACAAGCCACCAATGCCCAGCAACAAGTCACTTCTTCTATTTCTTCTCACTTTCTCTTTCTTTTTCTATTAAAGATAGCTGGTGAGGTTGAAGGCATGACTCAGGTATTAGGGTGCCTGTCAGTGAGCGAAAGCATGTAATACCAAGTTCAAGTCCCAGTCACAGACAAAAATAAATAAAGACAGTTGGGAAAGGGTAGGAGTGGTAAAGAACTGAATCTAGTGTCCAGGACCACCAAAACAAACAAACAAAAATCTAGGGACATGAAACAAGCAGTAGAATGCCTGCCTAGCTCTGAGTTTAAAAGAAATAAAAACAGGACTGGGAAGGTGGCTCAGTGGTAGAGTGTTTGCTTTGCATGCATGAGGCACTGGGTTCGATCCCTCAGCACCACATAAGCAGAAAAAGCCAGAAGAGATGCTGTGGCTCAAGGGGTAGAATGCTAGCCTTAAGCTGAAGAGCTGAGAGACAGTGCCCAGGCCCAGAGTTCAGGCCCCATGACCAGCAAAAAATAAAAATAACAAATAAGTCATGTGGGATAAGGGAGACCCTTCTGGCTGTCACTGTAGAAGAGTTATTTTCAGGCCTTCAGCTTTGACACCATTAAAATTACATTTAGCTGCAGTTATATGACACAACTTGCAAGGTCAATTCTAGCTCTAAGGACTCCATTAACAAGAAGTTAGAATAAGAAAAACTGTTGTATCAATTTTAACCCAAGAAACAGAGTGCTACCCTTGATAATAACATTAAACAAACTATTATGTACAAGTGATACCAAAAATACTTGAAACTATTTTGGATTCTTAGATCATCAATTCTTTTTTTTCCATGCTGGTACTGAGGCCTGAACTCAGAGCCAGGGCACTGTCCCTTAGCTTTATTTTGTTCCAATCTGGCACTTAAGAGCCACTTCTCACCAACATTCCTTCTCAGGTCAACTTTGAACCAGTATTCTCTGATCTCAGCTAGAATTGAAGGCATGAGCCACTAGCACTGGGAAGATCATCAATTCTTGTAATGAACTTACAAAGAAAGGTACACTATCTGGCTATGATGGTGTATGCCTATAATTCCAGTAGTTGGGAAGCTGAGTCAGGAGGATCATGGAGTTCAACTCCAGCCTGGACTACCTAGTGAGACAATGTCAGAAAAGCAGGAAAGGGGAAAGAGGAAGGACTGTTAGAACTACACTGACTTGCTGATTGACACCTCTTCCTGAAATTCCATTCTGAGGTCAACAAGCCCAAATAAGAATCATTGCTTTTCTGCGATGCCCAGTGTGGACCTCATTGACCATAATTACCTCCCTTCCCCTCTTTTGGCTAGCTGTTGACCCTAGCTTTTCAGTGCATTTCACTTCTTTCCTTTCCATTTGGTTTCCTTGCTCCACCTGGTGGCTCCTAAGCTGATCTTCTTATATTCAACCTCTAGTCCATACAACCCCTGTGGCCTAGTTCTAGCCTCAGTGTGCCCCTAACCAACCAAATGGGTCACTTATCACCATCCCTTAACCTCTCTATGTTTCAGTTTCTCATTCATAAAAGGATAGGGTTGGCCTTAGGATGTAGTTCATGGAAGAGTGTTTGCCTAGCACTCATGAGAACCTGGATAGATCACTAGCATAGCAATCACTAAAACAAAAACAAAAAAGGACAGGGTTAGACCAGATTATCTCCAAAATTCCACCTCATGCAAAGATTCACATTTTTATGAAAGCAATAGCATAAGAAACTGATAGGCCTCTTTCTGAAGAACAGATGGTACTCTATCACTGACCAATCATTTATTCTATCAAAACTTCCTGAAAAGTCTTCAGTATTTATCAATAGCAACATTCAAAGCCCATAGTTTCCACTGTTCTAGAACACACAGCCAAAGTAGTTACCCCTGCTCTGGGAAATTTTTCAGTTTTTCCTTCATACAGATTCATGCAATCATGCATGGTGCTGGGGATTGAACCCTCCAGTGAGCAAGTGCTCTACCACTGAACTATATATACTCCCAACCCTTCCCAGAAAAGTTTTATTTAACTAGCACTGAGAAGGGACATGTCTGAAGTTTAGTAGCTTGAGTGGTGAGAGTGACCTGGCCTCTGCCCACTCTCATACAGAAAACTGCAATAACTCCAGGAATGCCCTTTCAACTCCCATATCTCTGTCCCTCCTACCCCTCTCTCTCCCTCCTGCACTTGCAGGAGCAAAGGGGATCTTGGTAACCTATAAATCACCATATTTCCTGGCCTTCCTATAGGTTGGTGATTGGGCTCTGGCCACTGAAAAGTGGCAATGGTAACAGGCCCACTTCAAACTGATCCCAAATTCCATTGTACATACTCTCTTGTTCCCAGGCTAGCAATTCAAAGAATTTAGTGAAGAATTGAGGCTTTGGGAGTAATGATAGACTGCAAGGTAAGAAATATACCTCAGCAAAAGCCGAGCACCGATGGCTCACGCCTGTAATCCTAACTACTCAGGAGGCTGACATCTGAGGATCACAGTTCAAAGCTAGCCCGGACAGAAAAGTCCGTGAGACTCTTATCTCCAATAAACCACTAGAAAACCAGAAATGGCTCTGTGGCTCAAGCGTTAGAGTGCTCACCTTGAGCTGAAGAGTGCAGGGACAGCGCCCAAGCCCAGAGTTCAAGCCCCATGACCGACAAAAAACAAAAGACACACACACACACACACTATACACACACACACACACACACACACACACACACACACACACACACACCTCAGCTATACTAGGTCACTGGAACTTTGGAGTGCATAGTTACAGCCTTTATACGCACTGTCTAATATGGGGCTTTACATGATATATGTTTGTTTGTTATAGTGTGAAATTGTCCTGAGCAGAAATAACTTCCCAAAGATTAGGCACATAGACAAAGCATTCAGTAAATCTCTTCCACTAGTGATGCAAAGTCCTACTCACCAATGAGGAGGGCTGCCACATTAGATTCTCTTTACAGCAAAGGTTCTCAAGGGAGATTCTCTTCAGGGGGAAGCCACATTAAAGACTGCACCCACCTTTCCATCATGTACTCCAAGTTGGTTAGCCTTGCTTCCCCTGTGGAGACTATATGGACAGCATAGGAGCTGAGAGAGCGGTGGACAAAGCCCCAGGAATGTAGGTATCTCAGGGCCTCTGCAATCTGGAGCAGTAAGTGCACAATCACTTCCATGTGCAGCAGTGGGAACTGGGACCTCTGCAAGTGCCAGAGACAAAGAGCAAAATTTCCTGATTGTGCAGGAATTCCATTTTACCAATAGGAAACTTAAAACTCAGTGAGGTTCAATAACTGGCTTGTAAGTCCCACCTATCCAGGACCCATGGATCCAAACCTGGGGAGAATATTTTCAAAGGCTGGTATGTGCAATAGGCTGAGTGTAACATAAAATGCCAAAAGATGTACCCCTCCTTCCACAAATAAACTTTCCTTGGCCTCTCCCTATCTAAAATCCATGTTTGTGGGAGAACTTGGAAACTTGGAAGTTCAAAGGACACCAATGAATAAAGAGAACAGCTGGGCGCTGATGGCTCACATCTGTAATCCTACCTACTCAGGGGGCTGAGATATGAGGATTACACTTCAAAACCAGCCTGGGCAGGAAAGTCTGTGAGACTCATCTCCAATAAACCACCAGAAAACCAGAAGTGGCGCTGTGGCTCAAGTGGTAGAGCACTTGCCTTGAGCTGAAGACCTGAGGGACAGTGCCCAGGCCCAGAGTTTAAGCCCCCTGTCTAACAAAAATAAACAAATTAATTAAAAATAAAGAGAACAAATCCATCCCTTCTGAGATCCTGCCTTAAAAAAAAAAGAGGGAGGGGGGGTTGGGAAGTTGGCTCAGTGGTAGAGCGCTTGCCTTGCATGCCTGAGGCCCTGGGTTTGATTCCTCAGCACCACATAAGCAAAAAGAAAAAAGCTGGAAGTGGTGCTGTGGCTCAAGTGGTAGAGCGCTAGCCTTGAGCTGAAGAGCTGAGGGACAGCACCCAGGCCCAGAGTTCAGGCCCCAAGACTGGACCCAAAAAAAAAATGTAAAATAAAAAAAAAAGAGGGAGGGAAGGAGAAAGGAAGAGAAGGAAGAAGAAACAATAATAGAGTCACGTAAGTTCTGAGCATTTGTGTATCAGCCTTTAGAGAAGACATTACATTGCCACTTAAATTAGGCCATGAAGTCAAAATAGATATTTATCTTAGATAGATATTTATCTTCCATGAGTGCACAAATAGGAAGTATGAATGGACATAGGAGGCCATGGGTGGGGGTGGGGATGGGGATGAGGAGGGGTGGCAGCTAGAGGGAAATCCATTTACTCGTTCATGGAGGACACTGAACAGTGTGCCAACAGTGACACGCTCATATACAAGGCGGATCTTCTCCAGGTCTTGGGACAAGCATACAGCCATCAGCTGTAGTAAATGAGGGTGTCGCAGCTTGCTGCAAAAGAAAAGAAGCTTCAGAATGGATAGGGAAACATAATAAAACCATAGGTGTTCTTCTACAACCTTTGAACACATTCTAAACAAATACCACTTGCACACAACATTTTTCTAAGAAAACAGAATGGATTAAAGACGGAGTTCTCTGTGGATAGAAGACTGGCCTCTCACTGATCAGACCCTGAGGGATTAGTCATCAGTGAAACAATGGCAATTCTGCTGAGAATACTGAATAAGACACTCGGCTATACTGTGATCCCAACTACTACTTGAAGAAATGCATTTTATAGAATTGTAACCTCTTTGTACAACTACTTAATATTAACAATTTTTTAAGAGCTGAGCACTGGGGGCTGGGAAGGTGTCTCAGTGGTAGAGCACTTGCCTTGCATGCTTGAGGCCCTGGGTTCGATTCCTCAGCACCACATAAGAAAAAAGAAAAAAGCCGGAAGTGGCACTGTGGCTCAAGTGGTAGAGTGCTAGCCTTGAG